GGCTCGTTAAAGAATGGAGCAAAATTCTTTCGGATCCATTACGGTAATCATCTACCCTACCGCAGAAAGAAAATGGCAATCTACTGCCTAGTCAGTCTTATATCGAAACATACATGATTGCCTAAGCTTGTTTCACGCATGGCACATAACTGACTGATTCCGAGTATATAGATTCGCCTCTCGACCAGTTAACACACCTTCCTCATCTCAGTGGCATTATCGCCTTGCTTAGGGTGAGATGATTTGAACAATATGATAAAACGCTTCTCGAGAAAAAAAAAAGTCCTGACTTGATGTACTTTACATTTTTTGAAAAATTCTTTCTGGTAGCCATTGCTTCGAAGTTTAGATTGTTTTATAGTTTATTTTCATATCAAGTATTTGGGAGTTAAGAAGGTTGATGTTCGAATTTTAAGTCGTTATAAGAAAATATCTTGCAGTTCACCATTTTGGTGCTCTTTACGAAATATAAAACAAAAGACGAGATTTTTAATTCTCTACAGAAGAATTTAACAGGAAAACGAGAAATGTTGACAAAGATCAAGAAAGTAGAAGGAATATAAATGAGAAAGAAGGGGACCGAGTTCTTTAACCTAATGACGGGGCTATGAATACAGAGAACATAATTTATATACATCAAAAAATAAAACATATTCAAAGAGAGCGACACGAAAATAAATTTCTCTTTCTCTTGCTTTTACCTTGGCACACAATCTGGAAATTGAAAATGCCGAAAACAATATACCAAGAAAGACACCTCAGAAAAGCAAGTAACCCAAATAACGGATAACGACAAAATTATATAGAGAGAAAAGACAATAATAGGAGTTACCAACTCCGTGCGCTTATAAGAAAAGGCGGGTACACTGGTCACTAGACTTCCTTTATTTTAGTTGGTCAGTCGTTCAGTGATTGGTATCAACCTCCCCGGGGCAGATCTGAGTTTTATCATAAAGGGAAGGGAGACACGCATGTTAATGAAATGGATTAAAATATATCAGGAAGATTTTTCATGATTCTATGCAGAACGAGAGCGAGAGGGAGAGGAGAGAGAGAACGCAAAAGAGAGAGAGAGTGAGAAAAGAGAGAGAGATTAAATATATTTTATTCTATTTCTTCTTTGTAGCAGTCGTTCAGGAGAAACAGGATGAATGTCAATGTGTAAAAAACACACCTTGAATCCGAGGCCTTGTTAATGAATTGATTTCTACATTACACCCGCTCTCCCGCAGACAAAGCGTTACAAGACTCTCGTTAATCTATCGCTAGATGGAAAAGGGTTCGTATTCCAATATATAAGTTCCAACGAGCAACTTCTTTTTAATGAACTTCAACTGTTTTGTGGGACCGTCTCCCAAGAGGATGCTTCCCCCGATTACTAAAAACTGTTCACGTCTAGAGTCTAACGTTCTCTTTCTCACATATACTCATAAACTGTTACTCATAAGTTTTAATTTAATCTTTTAACCCGTTCGTTTCTCGGGCCTTGTACAGGGTGAACAATATTGTAAAAAATATAAACAAATAAATAATATACAGGGATTCCCATAATGACGGAGCACATTTTAAATGCAATTATATTAGATTATAAATATGACATAGAGAACCAAATATATTTATTACATATCTGATATAAATCTAGTATAAAAGAGTTCAGCATATTATCTAAGAAGAGAACACTCACGAACTCGCTCTCTCATTTCAAACACAGTTGGCATTGCCTGTCTCACAGAAATTTCTAACAGACCGCAGGATCATTTTTTCGAGATGATGCCTGTCGCTATCCAAAATGCCGTCGGAATTTCCTTTGGGCTGCAACAATGTATATTTAGCTGGTGAAATACGCCTCCATCACAGATGCAATTCCTTTGGGGGTCCACGACATTACTATAGTCCACCGTCAGCAAAAGAGATGTCTGTGGGAAATAGTAAAATCTAATAAGTAATATCTGTTCATATACTTATATATTCACAAGAGGGGTTTCCTATTTTTTCAGAGTTTGCATACGGACGTCTATATTATAATCTATTGTACGAGTCTTTGCAGATTTATAAATATATGTATTTCACTGAATTGACCATTCTCAATAATTTATGGAATATTCAACTCCTTAAGCTTCGGATCTGTTAGGTTCTTTGGAAAATAATGACGGATTTTTTAATAAAAATTTTAATTCTATTCTTATATATTATTTTAATGGTTGCACAGAAATATATGACACATTCTTAATGATTAAAGTCTCCTCTTTGTTAATGTTATATCAATCTCCATCAGAATTGAATATATAAAACATTAAATAGGGTTTAAGCGTCTAATAATTTTTTTCTTTTAAGTTTTTGGCAATTTCAACCATGGAAAGATTAACAATCAAACAACGTTTTAAAGTTATCGAAGCCTATTACGAAAATGGACGTTCACATTTATAAATATACGACCCACATATCAAGCTTGGAATTTATTAAACTTAATTCACATTTAATATCGGTCCAAAATATTGTA